TTTTTTTTTTTCACTTCTATTTTCTGATTTTTTAGATTTTATATTTAAAATAAACATTATTTTCACGTCTTGTTATAGCAACGTAACGAGACGTAAAAGTAATTATCAAATTCCTGTTTTTTGTTTTTTGTCTCTCTTTTTCTAATTTTAAAATTTTGGATCAATCATTTTCACCAAATTGCATCGTAGAAAAAAAAAGAGTATTTTTAGAGCAGTGCTCCAGACTATTTGTTGTCGCCGTTTTCTGCAGTCGACAATATTAAAAAAAAGTTTAAAAAGACTACCACAAGTTTCAAATTTTTAAGTCCACGGTTTGCACCAATAATGCCGGACAAAATAGACACAGCGTCCAGAATTCTATCGCCTTCAATATTTTCGTTTTATGAAGATAACAGCCCCGATAATATTGCTTCAATACCAAAGGTAGACTTAGAATATTCTTATATTTTTTTTTAAATTGAATGAAACTTTTTGTTAGGAACAAACCTTTTTTTCTTTTTCCAGAATAATCTGTCGTGTAAAATTGAAAATTTTTTTTATGTCATTATTCTTGCACAATTAGTTTTTAGATAATGAATAAATTTGGAATGGAGGAGCAAGACCAAGAAGCAGTTCTAGATGTGGTAATGGACATCAGTGGTACTAAAAAGACTGTAGACATAAGTTTAGACATGTTGAAAAAAGCCAATAATCTTGGAATAAACGACAAAATATCTGAGGTTTTGTCTTTATCAGTTACATAAAATTGTCACCAATTTAGAAAACTTTAAATGGCTGAAAGTATTTTACAGTTTTGAGTATAATAACTGCAGCCAACAGTATGCGACTGTTTACGCCACAGATAATAATAATAGTAAATAAATTTTGTTATCAATTTTACCATTGATTTAAAAAAACTAAGATAAGTAGTTTTTCAGGCTACATCTAAATTAAGTAAGGCATTTAAAGACCTGGAAACCAGCTTCAGTAATCGGCAAAAATCTGATATAGATAACAATGGCTTTGCATTTCTAGAACCAAACCAGCTAAATACACTAATAAAGAAACATGGTCTGTTAGATTTTCATTTCTGAAAAGAATTTATTTAGCAAAGATTCTGATTTTTTTCTGCATTTAGGAATAAAAAACCCTATTGATGTTGGATTTGATATGAATGATTATGCGAATCAGTCTGAAAAACAAAGACACGTCAGTCTTTGGAAAAGTATTGAGTATTTTGCAGGAAATAAGGTATAGTGTAAATGTTTTAAGCCACCTATTATTTTGTTTTTGTCGCTACGTGTATAAAATAGTTTTTAGAAGCATAATTACTTGATTTTTCACAATTACTGTGAAGTGATGAGTGATGTTGTGACTTACAGAATCAGACAAGACAGAAACGCCAAATCTCCGTTTTGGCACCCATTATCTTGTCACCGTACATGTTTGCTCCGATATTTGGCTTAACCGTTTTGGGTCCAGTAGTTCTGTCGCCGAACATATTCAGTCCGCTAATTTTGAATCCCGCAGCACTTAGTCCGTTCATAATGAGTCCAGCAATATTTATGCCATTTATTCTTTCTCCGTATGTTCTAACTCCCTATATATTGACTCCCCTGCTCGCAGCTCCATTCGTTTTAAGTCCATACTGTCTCTCACCAAATATTCTCAATCCCTACTTGTTAAGTCCTCTCATTTTAAGTCCTTATGTGTTAAGCCCTGACATTTTGTCACCACAGGCACTTGGAGGTTCTATCCTGTCTCCAAACGCATTTTCGCCAGCAATACTAACAGAATCTGCTATAATGGCCAGTGTTTTATCGCCATCGTTTATGTCTTAAAAAATACTAAGTTGACTTTAAAAAATTAAGCAAACAATATTTGTCTTGAAGTCTATCCTTACTTAAAACGGGCTTTTTTTTTGTTTAATTTATGCTTTTCTTTGATCTTTCTTTTGGTTCCTTTGTTTGTTGTTGTTGTTAATTTTTCTTCATCTGTAACTGTATGATTAGGTATTAAAGCATGATTTGAAAAAGCTTAAATGCTATAATTCCAAATACAGTAAAATATTTTTTTTCAGTATCGTCAGTGACAATCACACAGTAACGCATTAAATGCTTGTCTGATTTTCTTAACAGACAGAATACACCCTAGAATTTTGAACAAAGAAGTGCCGTTGTAGGAAGGATATGTTAATTTGATATCCTAAATTGTAGCAACCAAAAACATCGACAACATTCTAAACAACATCATTCAGCCACTTCTTTACAAAAAATCTGTGTTGTTTGAGCAATTTTTTCTGTTGAATGTTGGTTGACACTTTGATTTGGATTCTTGCCTTACTTTCTGCTGTTCGTAGTATTGGTAAAAGTATGATTATTGACAAAACAATCAAGATAATGAGTTTCTAATTGATAAAGAAACAAATTTTCGAGTTATTAATTTGATAAACATTAGAAACCAAAATTTGGTCGACGGAAAAATGCTAACTCACTAAAAATTACAAAAATTAGAGGATTATTTGTCAATGGTAAATGTACTTTTCAGATGATCTGGTAACGGAAGCTTGCCGAAGGGATGCAACACTTCCGTACTGTAACGGTGAACGCCGCAGGGCACCACCCGAAGACCAAAAATCGCCGAGTAATCCGTTCGGCGAAGAAGATACAAACTCGCAGGAAGCAGAGGAAAACTTCAAGGACGAGCTTTTGCCCGAAAAAGAAGAAGTAAACTTCTTTTTTCCTTTTTTTGTTCTCTTTTTTCGTAGTAATGTTAAGTAAATTAGTGAATCAACAGTTCGGCTCAAACTTACATTTATGAAGCGACAACAATGTATTAAAGTTGATTATAAACATTAAGAAATATCGGCTTATTCAATTATCTTAACAGTTTATATTCCATTGCTATCATCATCGAAAAAAATTATTGTTTTTTTAAACTTTTTGCATGTGATGGTTCAGTAACTGTATTTTACAGCAATTTAATGTTGTAGAAAATTAGTCAGTTAGGATTTCAGGTAGATTCTGGGTTTTTAGAATTACCTAAACATATAACGTCTACAGAAGAGGGCGACATTTCGAAAAACTGGAAACGAGTGGAACATAGGATTACTAAAAGGCCAATTCAAACAGTTGTTGTTACAACACTTCCACCTTTTCAACCAAATCTCTTATATACAATTTTTCCAAACCTTCAACCGAAAACCCCGGTCCATTTTTGTCCACAAAACCAAAACAAATTTCAAACAACCTGTCTTCCATCAAAACAACTGCGCTATGACTTAAGGGTATCCTAAAAATTTTAATTTTCAGAATTCATTTAAGCATTTGTATATAAATTTCTCTTTTTGGCTTTTTCGAGCTAAACATACTAGTAAATGGCAAATTTAACAGACTTCGGTGTCGCATAACGCCACATGGTGTTCTATCTTGTTGCTCTTATCCGCGTAGAAGGTAATTAATTATACGAAATAACATGGTTTAGCCTAAGTTAACTGCAGCAATTTTGTCAAGACTACTCCGATTACTGTGGCGTGCCAAACTTGAATTTATATCCAAGCAGATATTCAACAGATGATGGAATACCGAAAGGATACGGACAAAAACAAGAAGATGGAAAAGTGGGAATTGGAAAAAGTTTTTCTATTGGTCTCGGTGTTTTACCCGGCTTTGAAATTGTTGGAAGTCAGGGCGTTGATGTTGGTCCAATGCCCTATTTGCAACAGGTTATAAATTACTTACTTTATGCGTGTTATTTGATAAAATAAAAATCAGAACAAAAGATTTTCTAGCACACAATTACTGTCATTTAAATAGCAGAAAAAAAAGAAATTGTAAAAGATATTTGGAATGTGAGAAGTGAGGAAAATTTTGTCATTATGATTTATCTAAGAACCATTAAAAATTTATGATTCACAGTAAACTCAACCAGTAAATAATTTTAAAAAAATTACGTCATTAAATAGAGTCAACACTGTTAAAACTCTAAAAAAACATTTACACATCTCATTTTTACTGCAATAAACATCAATATTACTTTGTTTTTTATCATATTTAGTGCACTGAAAACCATGCATTATATTTGCTTTATTGATGACATATCAGAAGCTATTAAAAATAAGACATTTCAATTCGCAATTACGAGAGATGTTAATATGTATTTGAAAGAAAACTGAAACATTTACCTGCGGTTAATCTGCTAATTTACTGAGCTTCTAAATTTTTCAAAAGTGTTTATGCGCTGATTTTGACGTGACAAAAGAAGCAACAAGAAACGAAGTCAGTTACTGAAAAGCTTCATTTTTTGAGAATTTTTTGTGCAAAACCTTTATCACTTAAAAAATTTCGTTAATGTTCAATGAGGATATACCTCACAACTGCTTTAAGTAGTTGTACAGCCTATTTAGAACTAAAAACTGGTTCTTTAGCGTAAAGTTTACTATAATTTTTTGATATGCAGTGTCTTAATGGTACAGTAATATTGATCATTCAAATACTGTTTAATGAATAACTTTCAAATAGTGTCAATTACTGATGTAAATTTAAAATGTTAAAAAAGTTTTTTTTTTTTACCAGACTGGAGGTATGATAGTAAATTCTGGCCAACATATCGGCGTTCTTGGTGAACGTATTGGTAGAGGGCCAGCTCGAGCTATGAAACCTCTTTTACACGGTTTTCCAACGCGTGGAGACCGAGGAGATCACTCTATCAATGAAAAGACTCTGAGTAAAGTTTCAGATGCACGAGACATTCAGCCGCAATTGAGTAACGGTCAGTTGTGCTTGCTACAACTATTAAACCTTTATTTTGATTTATTTTCTGCCTTTGTAGTATTAAAATCAAAAAACTATTGTTTTAACAACTGCACCTATGCCATGCTTAATTTAAAAGGGAAAGATTTGAAAAATATTTGGGACCAGCAAAATAAGAGAGTTACAACAAGTAGAAAGTGAATAAAACAATCGTTTAGGTAGAGTTTTTTTCTGCATTTTGTAATGCTGTTTAAGGTACTGATTTTATATATGAATATAAATATATAT